ATTTTAAGACCTTAGAACCTCATCACAACCATGTTATGATCTAGCTTCACCTAAGTCATTTCGAGGTATGACAAATAACTTCCATTCGAGTATTCAGATGGCCATGTATGAGGCACTATGGGTTTATATTCAAGTCCCCAATTAGTTATTTTGAATTAGGAAAAGTAGCCTTGATAAGGACAGACTCAGAGATAGCCTAAAGATAGCTCAGAGTTGTCAGAAGTCTATGTAGGTCCTTACAAAATCATGAATATGTTTTTTAATGAGTCTTATCAGTTAGAGTTGGTAGTATAGCTAGTAATTGTTGATACAGTCTTTCACATTTACTTGTTAAATAAGTGTGTGGGTGATCCAACATCGAAAGCACCATTAGAGAGTGTGGCTATGAAGGATAGTCTCACTTGTGAGGAAGTGCCACTTGAAATTCTTGATCATCAGTTTCGTAGGTTCAGAAATAAAAATGTTGCTCCAATGAAGGTTTTATGGAGGAGTTAGTCCGGATAAGGAGCTACTTGGAAGCAGAAGCATCAATGAAGGCCAAGTATCCTTACCTCTTTCCTTGAGATTTTATTTCATCTTGAGGTAACAGTTCCTCTCCAGTCTCTCAGTATACTTTTGTTTAAAAAAATCTTAGTATCTTATTTGTTCAACTTTTCTTGCATTTCAGCATATTTGCATGTTCTTGGAACTCATTTTAGTCAAATATCAACTTCTAGTACTTAGTGGTAGGGATTGCAGCTCATTCCCTCAACATTCATCTAGTTTAGACTTCAATCGAGGACAAATGTTCCCATGAGGGAGATAATGTAACACTCCAGATTCGAGAAAGAACAAATAACAGATTTTTAGAAATTGCAGGTTCCACCAATGGAGGCCAGACCGCGCCCAGTGGTTTGAACCACATACCATAGGTCGGGTCCATGGTTGGCCACCTAAGACTCCTAGAAAAAACACGACCCACAGCTGTAGTTAGTGGATCATGACCCTTAGAAACTAGTCTCTCAAGACAAACAACTCTCTGCCAGGAAAGAGTGTGGGTTAGTCCATGGTTCGTTGGTCAGGTCTGTTTATGGATCCGACAACTTTTAAGTTAAGGTCGTTTGGATCCTTTCCCTTATAAATTGGGAATTTACTCTATGACAATTTACACCACAAATACGTCTTTTACTTAGTTTAAGCTTAATAATTTAATCAAAACCTACCTAAAAATTTTATTCTAAACAATCACAAAAAATTACAACAAAGAGAAGAGAAAGAGGCGCCAATTTTCTCAAGAACACGCAATAGGTTTGCTGTAGTTCCAACCCCGAAATCAAAGAATACCTCTGTAGATTTCATCACCATGTATGTGGGATTTCACTAGTATATCCCTTTCTTCCACTAGGTCCCTAAAATTCAATCAAATTCTTGATTTCCCATATCTTGTTTAGACCTAGGGTTTCAAAATCCCTGGATAATTGTTACGATTTAGTTGTTGTAGTATTTGTAATTGAATTATCATGTTTTCTTGGAAATTTTTTGCTTAGTTCATTACATCAAACTAAGAACCCTAGTTGTGTAGATTCTCTTAGTTCATGAATTACATTTGCTTGGTATATTAAACAAATAAACATGTTCCAGTTTTCCAATGTTGCATTGTCATTACCTAAATATTGCATTCTCATGTCAGGAGATTCAGATATCCAGTGTTTCAGTTATGTTGTGTCATATACATTTCTAGTTGGAAGTAGGCTTAACACCGAGTTAGACTAGGGTTCAGCGTACACTTATAGTCCCAGAACTACATGTCCCTATAAGAGTATAAGTCCCCTCTATTGGGCATCAAATTTAGTGACCACGCCACTCATGCGTTTATACACCTAGCAAGGAATATTTGGTCTTCTCAATGGGGCTTCTGTATCAGACTCCAAGTTTAGTTCACGTGGTTTTATATCGATTTATAGTAGCTCCCATAGTCAAACTCTAGTACATTTGACAAGTTTTTTAGTTATACTTCTGTATTTAGTTTTAGCCTGTTATATCATGATTAGTATTTGGTCATTTCATTTACCTCAGTTTTTAGTTATAATCAACATTTATCTTCTATTCAAATTATATTATTGTTCATATATATTTTGTTCAGTTAGTATCTATATCATGCATGTTCAGTACATTCCAGGTACTGACACATACTTTGCACTACATCTTTTTATGATGTAGGCTCAAGTACTCAGCATCCAGGTCACACTTAGATCGGTCCCTGATCCGTATTGAGCAGCTTCAGTGTTTTAGTCTTCATACTTTAAGGACAATAGACATGCCTTTTATTTCAGGATTCTATTCAGTTTACAGCTTTGCTAGGGTTAGTTTGGGCATGTCCCAATAATTCTAGTCAGTAGAGGTTTTTCAATAATATATTAGTAGAATGTACTTGGCTTGTTAAGTTTGATCTTTCAATTGTTATTAAACTCGTAGTACATTTCACATATTAAAACTAGTTGGGTATTCCGCACTTTCAGTTATCCACTGTTTTTTAGCTTCCGCACAAAATTTTTTATTCAGTATCTCACAGTATGATTATGATATGCTAGAGGCATGGTTAACTTGGGGTCACTCATGATCCTAGGTCCCATGTTACGCCAAGTGAGTAGCCTCGAGGTGTGACAAGGATTTTCGTGATTGCAGATCATTAAGAGGCTAGCTGTCGTGATCGCGGAGACCCGACCTCGTAGTCGTGATGACCAAAGAAGGTAAATATTTCATCATGATCACGACAACGGACCAGACGATCAGCGAAGCACTAAGGCCTAAGCCTTCGCGAACGCGACCAATGGGTCTGCAAATACGAAGGGCAAATCACCCTACACCAGATGATGTACATTAGCTAGTTTTGGAAATTTCAATATCCCGAGGAGGTCTTCTGAATTCATTTGGAACCCCGTGCATGCAAATGATATGTGCAACCCTACTAAATTCAAAATTTAGAACTCAAGAAAACCATCAAAACTTCCATCTGAGGTCGTGTAGATGGAAAGTGTGTACCCACACTCAATTTTCATTTTAAGACGAAATCCACAAGGACTCGAAATCAGCCTGAAAGCCTCTAAACCTAAACGAGAGATCGTTTTAGACCAAACTCAACAATTTGGAACTAACCGCGTTGACAAAATTCTCATCCGAGCTTGTTTGCTCAATATGGACTTAAGTCAAACTTAGACCTCAACCTGAAAGTGAAAACGCCTAATCGCACAAACTGACACTAAAAGCCTCGAAAGTCGTGCGACTATGCTATTAGCTTTAGATCATCCTTGCAGAGCTGATGAAATAGTAAAAATTTGATTTTGAGGTCATTTTCTAAAATTTCTAATAAAAATGACTGTTTATGGTCCAAAAGCTCCAAAACACTAATACTCACATAAAAACTAAATGATCGACCAGGTAATCGAACTATCAGTCCCAACAAATTTGAGATGACTTGAGGTCGCTACAGAAAAGTTCTAAAGGTTGAACATGAGTTATAAACAAAAAATAACCTGAAGGTCATCATAATATGTTGAGAAAAAATGTTGTTTGATTGAAGTTTCAATTATTATAAGCATTGAATTAATTGCTTGTTGTTGAAGCGTGATGGAGACAACCATCAAAATTAAATACTGGAGAGTGAGTTGGAATGTGCATATTAGATTATGTCAATAAAGAATTGTTTGATCTATAATTAATTTGGTAAGAGTAATTTTACTAAGACGGAAATTTAAACATAAGTTTTATCGTTCCACGTCTTAAGGAGCAGCTACTAATTTTTCGTGTCTGCAAATAGCTCCTACATCTGATAAAAGTACATAATTTTTCCTAAAATTTATGCATAATACGTTAAATATCCAAAATAAGCTCATTCTAGAGGGAACAAAACTATTTACTATTATTACACACACCTTTTGAGATATTAAACGCTTTTTCTCTCATAAAAATTGATCAAATAAGCTATTTATCAACGCTTACTAAAACGCCACATACACTTGCATATGAATTTATTTTTTACGAATATAAATGAAATGTTTTTCACTTGATTGCCCCAAATCATGTGATAGTAGTATGATAATGTTTAAAGCTTGTATCTATGAACAATATTGTCATAACTTCATGATTTAAAAAGTTGTTCACTTATGAAACTCAGTAGTAAAATGAATTTCTCTCTTTCAAAATAAATGAGTTAATATATAAATTGACGTATTGTATAAGTTAATAAAATTTTGTCTGTAACTATTTGGTTGACTATTGTTATGATAAATGTTGTGGACTTGCTATGAAATCATCTACTAAGAGACCATTTGTCTGCTATTTCTATTAATTGTATTCAAGACGAATGTAATATCATATTATTCCCTATGCTTTCCACAAGGACGTGGTAAAATTTTGGGAGGGAGCTATGATAGGTACAAATTTTATGAGCTAAAATTTTGAAATGATAATGGAGTCGATTGTGTACAGATAAAGGTATAATATATACCAAAAATAAAATGGCCAAACAATTATATTATGTTACTTCATATAGAGACATTGCTAAAACAAACAGACAGTTGCATAAATTTGTCTACATGTTTTTAATCCTACACACATTGCAAGTTGAAATGAAATCAAAACTATTTAATACATATCTTTGTAACTCTTAAGTTAGATTGATTAAGAATATGAATACAAGTTTAAAAATATCAATAAATTAGAAATGTGTCAACGGGTGTAATGTGTACATTGTTAATTAAAATATATTCTATCATATGTTTTATCTCATAAAATCAAGAAAGACAGATCTTTTGTTTTGTCGTTAACTATTTCTAACTCCACCACAAAAATTAATAGCTAGTTGGAATACTTCACTTTGAACAAAATAAAAATAATAATAACAATAACAATAACAATAATAATAATATATATATATATATATATATATACACGTAGGTCCGAAAACACGTGTGGAAAGACATCCGTAGTCAACAATAGCGATATTTAAACCATCCAGAAGTCGGTGATTTCTATTAATTTTTTGGTACATGACAACATAATAAGAACCATACAGGATTCCGATATACTTTGTGAATCTAGTGGTACTGGGCATCCAATTTCTCTCCTCCCGATAAAAGCATGGCGGAGAACCCTAATTGCACTGTATATGTCGGTATGTCTTCTTGTTTTAATTTTCCATATATCTACTTTAATAATTTTTTTATGAACGTTTCTCGTATATCAGATCTGATGTGAAGGAAGCAATAATCTTAGAGATACGTGCCTTTTCTGGTTATGTTTTCCGATTTGTTTGGTTGATTGATTACTGAATTTATTTAATTTGTTTTTCCCCTTTCTAAACACAGTTGAAAACAACTCCGCCTTTGGTTTGGTTCCGTTATGCTCCCTTTTTCCTAATCACTTTCCTTTTAGTCTCTTTAGTATTCTAAGATGTCTATTTTAATAAGTCACACAAACATATATATGACTAATTTGAGATGCACTTTTACTCCATATTATGTCAAATAACATCGACCTCCTAGACTACTTCATAATGACAACCAATATGTACCTTGGGATGAATTGCACATACATTTGGTTAATCTGCCTTTTTTTTGGATAGCTCACTTTGTTGAGGCTATTTTCATTTCCTGTTGGTTGTTTGAATTCAATGCAAGAATGCGCTTAGCAGGTTGTGCCTTTTTGATAGATAGGACATGCAATTTCTGTTGTGCTGTGAATGAGTTGTATGATGTACCACCTTCTAACATGTGTTTGAATTTCTTTTCTTTTTTTTTCGGGTAGGAAATTTGGATGAGAGAGTATGTGATCGTGTACTGTATGACATTCTAATTCAAGCAGGGCGTGTTGTTGACTTGTACATTCCTCGTGACAAGGAAACTGATAAGCCTAAAGGTTTTGCCTTTGCAAAATATGAGACAGAAGAGATTGCAGACTATGCTGTGAAGCTTTTCTCTGGTTTAGTGACACTCTACAATAGAACATTAAAATTTGCAGTAAGTCCTTGTTACCCATCCCTTAACTGGCTAAAAGGGTCTCATATAGTGAATTTTTCTGTTCCAAGTATTATCAGCTTCTGTAGTACTTGCAAACCTAAGGTATGGGTTTACCTTCTCTATGTTTTCCTATAGAACCAGCCAGTGTGTAGATGTTGGATAGTCTTGTCAGTGTGTCTTTGGTTTTGGCTCATGAATTGAGAGATGCAGCCAGCATATATTCTTTCAGGCAATTATGCAGGCTTGCAGTTGGAACTTATAGTTGAGGAGGCAAAGTCTACAGAAGCATCTTTGATTAGTTCATAATGTTTATTGATGGATTAATTTTTCTAAACAGATATCTGGGCAAGACAAGCCCTATAATAACTCGCCAATTGCAACACTGCCGGCCTTAAATATTCCATCTAGACCAAGGCCTGATAAGGAAATTTCACCAAATTCCGCAAGGTTATCAACTTCATGTTTGTTTTCACAGCACCAAACTAGTTACGCACAAGGTGATGCATGTTTTTTTTTAGTGAAGTCATTATTTAATGCTCTTAATTCTCTTTTTCTTTCTTTTTAAGTTTTATGATTGTCTGTTTGTTTGAGTTTTAACTTACATGTTTATAATTATTTTGTCTATTCAGTTCCAGTCCCCCCTGGTGTTTCAGTAAACCAGTCTAATGGTTATAGATCACCTTACAGTGGATATAGATCACATTACGATGGCAACAATTATGATTACGATCAAAGAGTATTTGGGGCAGCTTTGGATAGTATAACAAGCTATAGGTTGGGCCGATGTGATCCCCGTAGCCCGACCAATTACCCTTCTTACTGATTTTTGATTTTCTCTGGTAGAAAGCTCTGACATGTCTTCTGCTAAGTTATGTAGTGTATTGGTATTTCGGATAGTTTCTGCAAGGTGCTTTAGATTTACTTTTATGTCACTTTGTTGTTCATTGTTGTGATAGTTTATCTCTGGTTATGTTTCTGATGTCTGTAGTCTTGGATCTATGTGTTACTTTTCTTCGATCCAACTCTATAATATTTATTTTGTAGCCGGAATTCCATCCTTGTATTTGATTTTCTGAAAATGGTGCAAAGAATTGTATCTTGCTTCCGCTATCTTTTCTTTTCCTTCTTCAGTTACCTACTCAGAGGCACACGCAGCCCAGGCCCTAAAGGATCTGTAGAGATGGACATATTTATATATTTCTTATTCGCGATATATGCATTGCTTTTAAGTCTTGGAGACTAAAGTTGCTTGCTATTGGTGTGTGATATGGCTCTGTGAGCTTTTGTATGGCCATATAGTGATATTGACATAGATGTGCGTAAGAGCATTTCCTTTCGATAGCAGCATTGAAGATTATCTCTTGAGAGTAGGATTTTAAATAGCCATTCACGTATGTGATCAACTGAGTCTCTTCTCACTCAGATTTTCTTAAGCTCATGAAATTACAATCAGGTGTGCATTAAGTGCTTTTTCTCTTGATGTTAATGAACACTGTAAATCCTGGACAATGAAATGGCATGCCTGGATGTAGGTGTAACTTGCAAATTATTATGTGTTGATTATGTCTATTTCCACCACTTCGAAGCTTCTATTATCTGTTTCCCAGCATCACGAGTGTGGACGACTAGGGACATTATGTGTGCAGACAACTGGGGATCTAACATTGCAAACAATAATCAATCAACCTTATCTTTTATAATTGTAGCATCTGAGTCAACTTGCACACACCTTGGATGATTTCAGGGGTACCTGCTACTTCTCACCAATATAAGTATTGGGTAAATGTCGACTAAGGCTTGAATAGATGTGAAGAACTTAACTACTATTTTATCGGAATTTGAGGCCTCTCTCAACCCCCACTTCATTGACCACTGGACCACACCTTGTTTTGGTGTTATTTTAAGAAAATGGTTTGTGCCCAACTCTTTCTAATCTGGTTGACCATTTATTATAATTTCCCCCCTTTTACCAACTATGTGAGCCTCATTTATGTGTTTGTTGTTAGCAGTTGTATAAACTTGTAATAGACATGGGGTTGTATGTAAGAATATGAACATTATGTGTAGCCACACAAATACCTATGGTTTGTTTTAGACCACAAGTTCCCAAAATTCTTTTCTTTCTTAAATTTTGTGGAAGTGCCATCACATAAATTGGGTTAGAGGGGTATAATTTGTGAAGCAATCTAATACATTTAATATCCATTATACTATTCAACTATGGATATACCAATCATAGATAACATCCTTTCAAAGGGTAGACTTCGCACCACACGACTTCCTTGTAGTCCCTTTTGGTGATAAGAACTCTTGCTGACTTCACGACCCATACTCCATTATATTCATATGGCCTCTTCATATCAAAATATGGGATTCTCAATTATTCCACTAAAGTTGGACTAATAAAATTAGCACCAATGAGATCTACTTTAAGTGTATAGCTTCCATACCCATTGTTGTGCGAAGTGTGTGTGATGGCTTGTGGCCGCCTGCTTGCCTTCTTGGTGGGGGCGGCTTCGATGGATCAGAGCTACTCAAAGATTTGTGATAGATGCTTGAGGTCAAAATTGCTTACTATTAGGTAGTGGATATCTACTAAGAATTTGTGCAAACTTCTTCCTTGTGCCATTTTCTCCATAGTAGTATCCTTAGGAATATTCCTGAGGAGATAAACCTCGCCTCCCTTTTCTCCAAATTTATTTCCAGTAGCATCTCTATATAACTCATGATTATGGTTATTATTATAGCCTCCCATCATCACTACAAGCATAGTCACAAGGATATGAAGCTATGGATGACATATAGCGCCTACAAGGCAAGCAAACAAGTTAGTCATGAAAACCTTACTTTTACTCGCATTTGAATTTTTTTTACTCGTATTTGCAACTAATACATTGGACTGGTGCTAGCCAAGCACAAAAGAGTTATAGGTATATATACACAAAATACTAAGTCATAGGTGTATATATACAACTTGGATATGCACTCGTTTGTGCTTGGCTAGCACCACTCAAAACAGCTAGTCTCTTAGGATTCTTCTTCCTTTTTTCTTCTTGGTTTATTACTTTGTTTTCCTTTGTCCTATTTAGCTTTAATTATTTTAATTACATGTTGCTGATTTTCTTTTCTCACAGTTTAAATATATATCGTTGAATTTTTTGTTTCTTAACAATAATGAAAATGTTGTTGATTTGTTTTTTAATAGTGATAAAAATATTATGTTGATTATTTTTTTTCTTAAAATCTTGTCTGTTATTAAAAGTGGCTTACCGGGCATGAAATTATGGGAAAAAAAGCTAGTGAGACCAATAGGACAACAATTGTATGTCTGTTTTGTGACAAGACAACTAAAGGGGAACCATTTTTTAGTTTTTAATATGAATTTTTGCTTATATGTATTGTCTCTATTTTTTTGTTTTGTTTTTTCTTTTAATTCGCACTTCACTTTAATGATGAAGTGAGTGCTTTGCCTTAAGCATGAAGTGGGACCTTGCCGCTTTTCCACTTTGTGGTCCCCTCTACACTGGGTAACCTTTTGTTGTGAAATCTCATTTGAAATTTGTGCATTGGACTTCTGGTTGATATTTTCTGATCCTTCGCTTCCTTTTGTGGGGCCCACTTCACCTAGAAATTACCCCCTTTGTATCTTGAAACACTTAATCCAAACATTTCATTTGGTGTATGGATCAAACTTGGTACTTTTGTAACTTCTTCGAAGACATGAAGAACAATCAAAATTCTAACTTCAATATTTCTTGGAATCCCTCTGAATTTCAGATTTAGCTTCTCCTCAAGTTAGAGAACAAGCCCAGCTCTTTGATGTCCAAAACCTCACTCAATCCTTAAAATCCATTTTACTTTGTTCTTCAAGTTTTCAATCTAACAATGGTGAAATCTCCCAATCAACTCCACATGGCTTGAAATTTCACATCTACACTCAAATAACACTAGAGAATACTGATCTAGTGTAAAAACAACAAACAAGAACGAATCAGATTTTAAATTTTTAACTTGTGACCCTTTTCTTTTTCTGTAACAAACTCAAGACTAGATTTGTAAAAATAAATCTATACTCGACTCTAATACCAAATGGTATAATATTTAAATGTGGAAACTTAAAGAAACCTTACACTTAAGAACCAGGAAAGTAAAAGATAAAGAATGACACAGGATGGATAAAGAATTAAAAACAATGGTTATGTGACAACCAATACCCCAAACTACAATATTCTAGAAAGCACAAATTGTGTAAAAAATCAAGACACAAGGATGAGGCTAATCGACAACAATGACTATGTTAAAGCCAAAACGTCGTACAAGAACACAAAAGCAAGCACCTATACTATAGAAGACATCCTCAAGAGGAATGATCCTCAAGAAAGTAGTTCCATCAATATTTCTATTAACATTGACCTAGCTTTCAACTCTCTCAAGAGTGTACTCAATAATCTCTTATGAAAATAATCCAAGTCTAAATGAGTTATTCTCATGTATTTGTAGTCTTAGGCTAGCTATAACATAAAAGGCCCAAAACTGGCACTTCAAAAATTTGAAAAACAACCCAAATTGACTGCCTGTGTACTATGTGATGTAGCTTGTGGTGTCACATCACCCACTTGCGGCCACAAAGAGTGAGCCTTGAAGTGATAGGTGAATACAGCTTGAGTTGCGGTCGCATATACTTGGTAGCTCACTATAAGTGAGTGGGCAGAACGTGATTGATGAGTCAGCTCTATGTACTCATTTGGAACTATCACAAGTCTGGTTTTTCCATCCAGGTGGAACCATTGTTAATATGCTTGGTCCATTTGGTTGAATGTGTTCTTGCTACTTTCTTGATATGGACTTAGAAAGAAGCCCAATTTTTATAATATTCTTTCTTTTCCCTTTTTCTCGTAGGGGAAGAATGATGACTGGGTTGGGTGAGAATTGGGAGGCTGTACTTCTTTTAAAGCCAAATTTGTGTTTTCCGTTAGATTGTTCCAGTTTAACATCTTTGTTTAAATTATTTGAATATGGGCTCTTGTAAAGTTATATCCATACAACTTGTTTGGAACTGAAATCATGCTGAGAAGATTGGTCTTATCACTATATGAGTCTCGTTCCTTTCTTGTTGTTGTTTGTTTGTATGCATATGAAAAGGCATCATTCCGAGTATAGATTGCAAGGCAGTATCAGCAGTGCATTTTTACATCAGTGGAAAGTCTTTTTGAGTTAAATTTAATTGATGATAATGCAAAAAGCAGATGGACTGTTCTTGTCAGTATTTATTAATACCTTGATTCAAGTGTTCAACTGGTCATAATTTGAAGAAAATTTGGTATCCTTGCTGCAGTGTAGAGTTATTGAGATGGTGTTGTGTTCTACTCATTATTCATGTCCTATATTTGATTTGAAGGATAGAAACAAGATGTTAACACTCTTCTCGTTGTTCGTTGTTCTACTTTTAAGAATGAAGCTCCTGTTTACGCCTTTATCGTGTAGTCATGATTCATATTTCCTCTTCCAGTTTCCCCTCTCATCGGAAGTATCCAACTTCCTCTTAGCTACTTTGAGAATGCATATTTATTCGCGATCTTTAAGAAGCTTAGTCATCCTATGCTAGTATTTGGAGAAAATGCAACTACTTCTCCGAGTATATGGTCTTCACAAGGACTATTTTATTCCCCTCCAATTTTATGTTCGAGGGATGTGAGGCTATTTCATGTTTGCTAATTAATCTGGTTGATCCACAATTGTCCGAGGCAGGTCTGAAGTCATGTTTTAAGTAAGCATTATTTGATGTAGTGTTGTCCTTCAGATATTCGGAATGCACCAAATTTCCCATTTTGTCTTCTCTTGCCGTCTCAAGCTTAAGGGTAGAACAAGTGATCATCTTTTCTCAAATATCTCCCTTTTTCCATTTTTATCCTTTTGTGTTCTGTTTTCCTTTGTTATTTTATCTTCCTCCTACTTCTTGATCTCATTTGCCTTAATCATCATTTGGGCCATGTTTCATGCCACTTCATCTCCATTGTTTCTTTCTTAACTTGGGGTTATTCTTTTCGCATCCCGTTGTTAGCCTTGTCTTGTCCAGTTATTGTCCATGCTCTCCAGTCTAATCTTTGTTCCCTCAGGATTTCTATGTACTTTTGGTTTCATCCATGTATGTGTACTTGAGAAGCCTACTTGGAGTTTTTCTAGAAGAAATGATGAAATAGTAAATTTGTTTTCCAAGAAATTGTTACTGTAACGAAACATTGCATCTTTTTAGAATTATTAATTGGTGGGTACTGTTACATGCGTTGTGTTTTACTCCTATGTGATATAATATTCTTATATGAGTCCAAAGTATCTTTAAAACAGAGCGTTTGATCCTTTTATGTGAGAGTTTCTTATCATTTCCATTTTCCTCTAGTTGACATAATTTGTTGGGATTTCATTAAACATAAAAAGTGTTAAGTTGTTGGGGAGAGAATATATCGAAGATGTCGGCACTTGCTTTGTCGAATAATTATTTGTGGATTGTAGTAAGAACAATTTTCTTACTTGTCTTCATGTGGTGGAGGTAGTCATCTTTTTGAAAACTATGTGATCTTTTACGAGGTGATATGGTGCTTTTTCTTTCACCTTCAAATGCCAAAGAAATATGTTGGCCGTGTCCTATTCTCCTTTTGTCACATGTCTTAATACTGCATATTATATGGTAATTTGACTATCTAAAATAAGGTGTGAAATTTTTCTTTCAGATTTGCCCTATCCGTTTTCTAAAGAACTTGTATTGTTTAGCTAGGGGATGTAATGAAGACGTCTTACTCTGAATATTGGCCTTGTGAGCATTTTGACTGCAACAGAATGATAATTGTAGGGTACACCAGGGTTTTGGTGTTGTTTCTATACTGCAAGAGGTAGTATTTGTTTGAAAAATTATGGAGGTAAATTGTTTAGCCTATTATAAATATGTAATTAATTTTGCATATACTTAATGTTGTGCTGGTAATATAATTTTCTCATGTAAGTAATTACCCTACAATTGTAAAGGTGGACTGACCTTGATATTTGCAGGTACTAATTCTTCGTGAGTTTATAGTTGATGTTGGTGAAATTCGGTGACCATGCAACGTTAACTACTAAAAACAATGTCAAAACTATATAGTAAAAATGGCTTCTGCAAACCGTCCATTTAACTAAATTCTTTTGTGGAATTTCGGATGTAAAATTATTCTTTTATACACTTTGGTTGAGTATGTGCCAGAAGAATAATTAACTACATCAAGTATCAGTGTACCTTTTAATGTTTTTTTTTTATAAAACAACATTGTAGAAACCGACATGGCTCATCAGTTAAAACAGTAAAATTGTTTATTGATAAAGTTACATCTTAAAACAATAGTTAATAATTAATTTTCATTTTAGTTAAATAATCCCGTTCTTTTTTTTTTCCTCAGAAAAGGTTTATGAAAGTCAAATTTGATCATTTTTCTTTAAAGAAACCATGAATTGGTTGACGTATTGACTGTATGGATTGACATACTTTTAGTTGCTTATTATCTTTTGAGTTGTATATTAAATTGGAAGTGTATAGGTAACACCTATCAAAAGAAAACAAGAAAAATCGACGGAACCCACTAAATCTACATAGATTTTTTTTTCAGTAGAAATCTGGATTTTTGTAATTGTTTCGGCCTATTGAGACTTTTTAATTTTTGAAAAGAATTGGAAGTTCTAAAATCAATCTGAATAGCCTAAATATATCTCATATTGTTATATGATCAAGCTCATGACAATATAAATATAAAGAGACGAAAATAAGAGAAGTAAGATGGAAGAAAGTCTTCTCTTTTATCTTACTTCTCTTGTTTTCATCTCTTTATAGTTATATTGGCATGATCTTGATTGTATAACACGTTATTAGCACGAGACTCTATCCTATTGAGATTGAGTTCTAGTTTTTCTTTAACTCATTTTTTGATTGATATTGTTATGAGAATCAAGGTATTATATACATAAAATCAGGTATATATTTTCTAAAATATTTTTATATTTTAGAATAAAATAATGTTCAATCACTAACAATTATCAGGAACCAAAGGTATAAACAACTATTGCTTGAATATGACATGCTATACAAAACTTCTTAAATTGAAGAAGGTATAAAATTTTAATAGCATGAGTTTGAATATTATTTTGATTGTTTTGAAAGACTCAAAGGGTAAGTCATGTTGTACTTCGGTTTATCATACCGTTGGTTAAGGGTAAGACGATGGAATCAAGTTCCATTGCACCAAAAGGGTAAGACATTAGGTTAAAGTCCAGATGTACCATAATGAAAAATATTTGAGGATAAGACAATAGATACAAGTTCTATCTCACCAAAAGGGTAAGACATCAATTTGAGTTTTGATGCACCATGATTGGGTTCAAGTCCTATAAAATTATGGCATAACACGCCTTATATGAATGAGTAAGACATTGAGTTTGAGACAATGAACCATAGCGATGATAAAATGATGACTAAGAAAAATAATATATTTTTGATGAAAAGCCTTGAAATTTGTCTCATTGAATTTGCTCAATTCCTTGAAAAGAATGTGGTAGCAACAATGATAACTTTAAAATCCAATGTTGACTTGCTCCATTCTATTGTATGTATGTGGTAGCAGTAATTAATTAATATGAAAGATGACAAATCATAAACGATATGAAAAGGGGCAAGAACGTACGGAATTATAATAATCACCACTGTGGTAATTATAAAAGGAAGAACACTATGGGTTCTCCAAATAGTCCTTCAAAATGTGAAGACAATTTTCATTATCAAAATGGTATGAAAGGACATTGGACTTGTGAATGTTGTCGACCCAATAATTTAACAAGTTTATAAATCCTCCATCAAAAGACAAGAAGATAATGTGATAGTACACGTGATCTTTCAAAGTGATGTTGAGGTGTGTCATGGAAATATGATGAATTTTTAAAGTCATGACAATGTGCTTATAATGCAAATTTATGAACTACATAAAAATGATTAGTCCATTCCTTGAAGAGAATGTGACTTGTGATGAGTATCGTGAATGCTCGACCATTCTATAAGAAAATGGGTCCAGATGTGATAAAATCATTATGGGTTGGATATATGCCACAATTCACCTCTATGAAAGGTTTGAGAAAAAAATGATATATGCCACATCTCATATCTACGGGAGATTTGAGAGAAATAAATAAATTTTATTTGATATGAACGGTCAATGGTCGTGTGCTTTTATACGTCATGAATATTATGGTATGTTTATTTTGAACAATCGAAAGAGATAAAAGAAAGAAGTAATTCTTAAATATAAAGGTTGTGGCCATGATCAAATATACTGTGTGACAATATGAAGTTGTCATTGGTTGTGTACCTATGGTACAACAAAAGTAAAGCAAGAAATATGTCTTGTTCATAATAATATTAACCATGACAATAATGATATAATTTCTCCTTGAGGAGATGTTTACTATATGGATGGTGTCATGAAATATGTGATAGTACACAAAATTAATTGCAAGCTTTAACGAATTGTGCTATTACCATAGAAATAATATTGGGGTTGTAGTAAGTCTCAAAAGAAACTTCTTTAAGTTTCATATTAATTAAAAATAAATGTTGAGACTATAAATTATCAAACGATTTAATATCTTTAAATTACTACAACCGAAGCGGGTTATAAATATTGGTGTACACGATACCCATTTTTTCCTCTTGTTTGTTGCATACAAACATGGATGTGCTGAGAAAATCACATGTAAAAGTAAATTGTATGTGTACTGAAATAAAGATCAGTTGGTATGATTAGTTTGCCATTGAAATTAAATGTAATGTAAATATAATTGAGAATTCATGTGGCTTATATGGTGAAGAAATAAAAGATTCTTCAAGAATTCTCTTGTGTTACTTGTTTTCATTATACCATCTAAGGATGGGATTGCAATTTCCTGAAATTTTTGGAACATATAAAAAGGTGAATATGGTCCCATTCATCTGCAATGTGGATCATTTGCAACTATATGATATACATATCTAGGTGATGATCACATGTGCTTCGTTGTCAACTTACAAATTGGTGTTTGAAAGGTTGTTTGCTCGAATTGTTAAATTTAGAGCATAGCTTCAAATTATGAAATTATATTGATAATGCTGGTTGATTTAGCAGAAATTGTATGCCTCCAATCATAGTTAAATCATGGTTATGAGAACAAAACTCCCAAATAAGATTTGGTATGAGATATTTATTTAACATGTAGCAACACATGTATGCATCAAGCCAACAAGGTTTCCCCATTAAAATTGGTTCAGGTTCAGGGACCATATAATTTTCATCTAAAATGTTGAATGTGCGGTTATGATTTTAATTGCTCCACCACGCACAAAGATGAATTCCTAAATAAGGTTGGGGTAAATGTTAGATTTTCTAACATTAAGAGGAGAGATGATTCACAGCTGAAAATTATGTGTGAGGTTAATTATGAATAATCTAGATCCTCCTTAAATAAATATGTGAACTTAAAGTTCAAGGGATAATTCATTTGCATAATGTTGCAAATTAATTACCAGATGAATGTACTGACTCTATGAAATAATTCAGTTGCAAATGCTTCAATTTGAAGTCCAAGGACAAAGTCTATGATATACCGGAAGCGTAATAGACCAATCGGTTTTAGATATAAAATTCGTTGAAGAATGAGAGGAGCAAATGATCAATATGTTCATAATAATGAGGCAAGTGCTATAAGAGAGAAGCATGACATAACAATTCATAAAACCTTGAAAAAGGTTCAGGTACCTGAAAATGATGAAAAATGAAGAGATCTCAATAAGTTATGTCAAGTTGAAATCGATATCAAATGATCGTCGACAGTATCTTTGATATGAGGTAGCGCTCAATGATATAAATTGTGACGAGAATCTTAAATTCAAATATGTCATAGAGTGGGACAGATAAATGATTGGCCAAAGTAATATGCATAATTCAAGTATATTTTATTTCACTTAGAAAAGTGATATTTTGGACTGGTAGTCCATTACTCAAGGTATAGCCAAGTTTTCAACATTGAGACAGCCTACATATCCTTGTATCTTTAGGAATCAGGCTGCTTATAGTTCGACTCGATCGTTATAAAAGAAAATCTATTATGTTAGTTAACCTTCGACTCTGGATAAGCGACAAATAGATTGAGTATGAAAAAGAGGATTGTAACCTCTTAGCCATGAATGTAGTGCACTTCACACCCATAAGTAAGAACTCACATGAACATAATTTCCAAAGCTCTTAGTGCATTGGCACTCCGATTGGAAACTTGCTTTCGGCAAATATCAAGATTTTCGAAGGTGAGACCAAAACTGTAAAGAGCCAAAGAAAAACCCACATGCCTTCTGATAGGCTTGTGGTTTGATTGTGGTGGAAGAAGATTCTCTGCTCGCGTCCTAAGAGTTTGACATCCCTCTTCGGACCATGTCCTTTTTCGGTGTTAAGAAAAAGTTCCACGTTGTGTTGTATCTTTTTTTTTCTGTCGTCCGCACCTGTGGTTTTTCAGGAGAATTCATCCTTTCGAATGCTCTTGACAAAGACTGAGCTAAAATTGTCAGCATAAAAATGCAATTTAAATGGGAGACAGTGTCTTTAACCGTGTCGACACTTAATCGTTCTCCCCAACATTTGACGTCAACTCGATTTGTTTGACGTAAAGAAAATAAAGCTTATGTCTTGTGTTTGGAATATAATCTTCAATGTATTCTTCATTTGATGTTGAAATAAATAAAAGTTGATGCAATGTTGACAATTTCACTTGATGTCGTCTTCTACGATTTGCTTTTATCAAAATAAAAGAATGCAGATGATGTTGAGGGATAAATATTTTCTCTCGAGATGCACGATTCCTTCTGTTGCAGTGCATGATTTTTTGCGGGGCATGAATATCTTCCCGCGATGAGTGATTTCTTTAGGGGTATGAATCTTCCCGCGATACATAAATTATGGTATGAATATCTTCTCGCCATGCATAATTTCTGCGAGGCATGAAATCTTCTCGCGATGCATAAATTTCTGCGAGGAACGAATACCTTCCCGCGATGCATAATTTCCGCGAGGCATGAAATCTTCTCGGGACGCATAAATATTAACTCGCAGTGCATGATCTTTCACGATGCATGAATATTAACTTGCGATACATGATCTTCCGCGATGCATGATCTTTAGTGATGCTTACATATTGACTTGCGATGCATGATCTTCCGCAATGTATGAATATTAAGTCGCGACGCATGATCTTCCATGATGCATGAATATT